TCAGAAGAAGGAGAAAAGAGGAAACAAGTCAGGAGCCTGACACAGAGGACCTCTGAAAAATCTCTGCCCTGCAGACTATCAATGTAGATACTGAGACTTATGGGCAACCTTTGGGCAGAGTGCAGAGAATCTTAGGAAAGAAGTGGGAAACAGTAAGATCTGGAGAGGACAGGAACTCCATAAGGAGAGCAACAGAACCAAAACATCTGAGCACAGGGGTCTTTCCTGAGACTGATATTCTAACCAAGGACTATGCATGGAGATAACCTAAGACCCCTGCACAGATGTAGCCCATGGCAGTTCAGTGTCCAAGTGGGTTCCATTGTAATAGGAACAGGGACTGTCTCTGACATGAACTGATTGGCTTGTTCTTTAATTACCTCCCCCTGAGGGGGAAGCAGCATTACCAGGCCACAGAAAAGGACAAGGCATTAGGTCTCCTGATGAGACCTAATTGACTAGGGAAAAGAAGTCCTCCCCTATCAGGACTTGGAGAGGGGCATACATGCAGAGGGTGGAAGAAGGGAGGGATTGGGATGGGAGGAGGGAGGGAACCACGGAGGGGGATACAAAGCGAGTAAAGTGTAATTAATAAAGAAAAAAAAAAAGTGAAGCCCTTTGTACTCTTCAGGTATTTTAACCAGCGCATATTTTTAGGCAAACAATATTCTTAAAACTAAGACAAAAATGAAAAATAAAATCAAAGCAAAATCCCCAAACAACCAAATGGTCAATCTTTTTAACATGTCACCAGTCACCAGTTATAGCTGGAAATAGTGCAACGAACAAATAAACAAACACCACTAAGGGAAATCTGGATCATTATAATCTGTAATATGGACAGACAACGTGGAAGTTGATTTAAGGTTTTTTTTTGTTTGTTTTTTGTTTTTTTTTTTCAATTCTTAAAACTTAATTGATTGTATGTCCATCAGAGTGTAAACTGTAAAGATGAAGTATAATAGGAACAGTGGTAAAGGGATTTTTTTTTATTTAAAAAAGTCACGTGTGATGCAGAGGGAAAGGATGGGACTCAGGAAATGTCAGAGAGTTTCAACAGAGGAGACTGTTCAGAGCCCGGAAGAGGCAAAAGACGTGCGGGGCCAACAATGTCTCCTTTACTTCAGCAGCTGTGGTCCTCGTCAGCCAGCCAACAGGCCACAGTACCAGGAGGCCACTTTGATCTGCACTATAGTTTTACATTTGATGCAAAGAGCCTGTACAAATGCCAAAAGGAAGATTTGCAAGTCCAGCTAAGTGGTGGCTTGCTGTCAAGTTGTATTTGGCTTTTCCTTTCTGATGAAATTGCTACTGAGCTGTGTGTGTGTGTGTGTGTGTGTGTGTGTGTGTGTGTGTGTGTGTGT